AAAAAAAAAAAACAAATAACAACAAAATAATGAAACAATATTAAGAAGCATATAATTTGTTAAAATATTTCAAAAGAGAAGCATTAAAATTCTATTATACTATGATACTTTTAGTTGCTCTGTGAAGTTTATTGTTATGAAGTTATTATTAAAATTTACGTTATGTATTACAAAGTTTTAGATTTTTAATTATTTAAAATTCTTGATAATATAGGATCATTATTTGTGAAAACTAATTTCTTATAGAGTTCATATATTTAGACGCTAGCAAAAAAAATAGTAATTTTAAAAGACTTTTTGCTTCTAGATATTGGTATCCATATTTTTTAAAAAAAAAATTGAAATTTTTATTTTCCCATTGAATTACTATCGTTTTATTTGTTTCTTATTCTATTCACAAATAATATTTATTTGTTAAAAGAATTATAGCACATTTATATGTATTGCACCATTTTTTTCTATTTACTTTATATAATGACGTTGTAAACAAAATATCTTATTTATTAGGCTACAACTAATATAATCAAATACAATCAATACTATTTAATATTACTTATTTATTTATAATAATAATATATTTGACAAAAATATACTTTTATACTGGTTATAAGATTAAAAAATTTAGGATTGTTTGATAAAATATTAAGTAATTAATTCATTTTCGTTTTAATTGAAAATATATGTTATATGGTACAACCATTATGGTGTTCCTTTCCCGCAGTAACTGAATAATTGTTTAAATTACAACTCATTCATTTCTCCTTCTAATTCGCATAGTTAATGTCGGTAATAATTGTAAGCTTACAACCATTTTATACATTTTTCTTATTTGTACGAATATTTCAAATCTATGTAAGCAAAATATAGCACAAGTTTATCTTATGTTTTTTTTTTCATATTCAATAAAATTTGGTTAACATGGATTTGCAATTTGTTTTACAAGATATATATAATATTATTTTATATCATTAAAAATAAGTATATTATTTTTATCTTATTTACACACGTTGATAAAAAACATCGTTGACAAGAAATGATATTATATATTACATATAAAAAGGGTAACAAATAAATAACTTTCAAGCATTTCAAAATTGAAAAGTTTAATGGTGGACGATAGTTAATTTTGTAACTAAAAAGACTAACACTAATTTAGCAATTTTTAATGCCAAAATATATATTTTTATGTTCTTAAAAGTTCTAGTAAAAATAGATGTTTATCTTGAATATCTTTATATTTTCCATTAGTCAGCTTCAACTGATATAAGACATTAATTAATTTTATCATTTTCTTTTTTTATTTATGGATTGAATGTGAGCTATATGTTTTCTCATTGCCTAGTCTTACATTTTTATTACGTAGAACCCTGTTTAGTTACAACAATACTAAGAAAATAATTAATGACTTTTCAACCTAGATGTATCGTGTTTGTTTTAAAAAAATGACTAATTATTATAAATCAAATGAAAATTACAATAAATGTGTTACATTTTCTATCATCATCAACAATTTTCATAATAATTAGTTGCACGCAATAATATATATAATGCAATTTTCTTTATATATAGAGCCTACTTTTACTAAAAAAAATGATGAAATTTTAATTTTAATAAGGATTCTAGAAAAAATATATACCAATGGAATTTCAACGACGATGTAACGAATATTTCATTGTTATTACTCCTTTTTGAAATTTCCAATGAAATGTTTCTAACAAAAATATTTTGTTAGAATCATGAACAGATCTATGTTTATAATGTCGACACAGGGCCCTCATCCCAAAACATCTAGGATAAGGTATCTAACAACAATTGTGAAAATACTTTTCATATTTTTAATCACGCACCCTATTTTAATCATGTTTAGTAGTTTCTATTTTTGTTTGTGTAGTTGGTTTTAGTGTAGTTGCGAGTGTTGTTATTCTAGCTTTGTTATTGCCGG